CCCCCCCCCCTTCAAGGTTGCTCTAGGGCAGTGATTTGCAACAGGAAGCCAGTTTGCCCCCAGGGGCTATCTGGAAGCATAAACTCATTGTCAACTCACAGGGACCCTAAGGGAAAGAGTAGATATTGCTTCACAGAGTTCTCAAGGCTGTAAACCTTCCTCCTGAGGAAGAACAGGTGGGTTTGAACCACTGACCTTTCAGTGGCAAGGAACAGAAATGTTTTTGTTGTTCCAACTTGAAGGGGACAGGAGTGGGGATGGAGCCGGGGCTGTTACTAGCATCCAGTGAGTGGAGGTCAAGGATACTGCCAACATCCCATCGTGCACAGGACAGTCCCTGACAACCAAGAGTTATCCATTCCACTAGCACCTTTCCTGAGCAACTGTCTGGGGCTTCCTAAACGCATCTCTAACTTAGTGGTCCATGTAATAAGAGCGTACCATGTTATGGAAAACGGAAGGCTCTCCCAGAAGTTATGGTTTCAATTCCTCCTTCCTAACTTGTTAACGCTGTCACGTCCACCTAGCTAATCTAGCTTCCTAAGGCTCAGCTTTCTTCCAGAGAAAACTGTGACTATCTAGTGCTGCAGGGTAAGTCCTGGATTGCTAACGGCAAGGACGATGGTTCAAACACACCAGCTGCTCCTTGGAAACCCTATACAGGGTCACTGTGAGTTAGAATCAACTCAACAGGACTTCACCACCGTGACCACCAGCCATAGTGACCCTGTATAGGAACATAATGTAGGGAAATTTCATTCACACTGGATGCTGTAAAAGAGTCTGACTGACTTGGGCTGATGAAGGAACAGGCGGGCCTTTGTGAGTAAAAGCTCTCAGGTGCACAGACAATAACTAATGCTGGAGGAGAAACCCAGCGTTCCGCCTTGGCACGTGGTTAGCTGTCCTCCAAATGCCCAGCCTCCAAAATGACCACGAGACAACACTCTGCTGGATTGGCTGGGCAGATCTGACACAGAAGAGAATTCCAGGAATCTTTCGTCTCTGATATATAATCCCTTTTATTTACCTATGTTTAACTGAAAACATCTGGAAGTGGTACCACACAAAATGTTATTCAGACTTCAGACATGTCACTTCAGACATGTCAATAAAATGTCCATAAGGGATGGGCCTGGTATAAACTGGGGGGGGCACCTCAGCAGCCTCAGAGCCGCCCAAATTTAGGACTATAATGGAAGTATGTGGTCTGACATGAGGTGATAAAAGCTCTTTCCCCATAAAGCTTAATGAGCTCTATTAGTCTTGAGCTTACAGGCACCTAAAAGGGTCAGCCCCGCAGAGAGTAACCGACTCTCCACACATGGCTCCATTCAAATGGCACGTCTCAGATTACTGATGTAATTGCTATAACCTGACAATTTCATTAGATTCATGTGGCAGTTAACTATTTAGGAATATACAGCAAAGGGACATGGCTCATTCACAGTTGTTTGGAGGGGACAAAATGAAATTACGTTTCCTTCATATTCACATGCAGGACTCTTGCAGTGTATGGTCTGTGGCGCTGTGGGCTATGCACCAGACTGCAAATCCGTTTGAACTGCAAAGTCAGTGGTTCAAGCTCACCAGAAGCTCCTCAGAAACCTTAAACAGGGAGGGTCGCTATGGGTCAGAACTGCTCAATGGCACTTAAGAACAACCAGAATTATTTGTTCCTTTATACAAAACTGGGGAGGGGGTTTGGAAATTTACCATACTAGTCATTTTCCTTCACCAGCTAAACCTGCAGCTTCATGGTAAAATTCAGTATTAAAAGACTTGCACTTTCCTTGGTCCTGGGGGCAGCCACCTCTAGCTAAGTCATCAGGTGGCCACTGCAAAATTCCAGGCTAGAAAAATATCAACAGGAAGCCCTCAAAGTCTTTCCCACCAAGACAAGAGGAGCAGTTTGGTCAGCTCTAATTTGGATTTCATCATGTTCTAAGCCCAGGAAGAACACAGAGCGATACATCCAAGGGAAAAGACAGCTCTGGATCACTAAACAGGGAGAGCAGTTCTGACAGAAAAGGACAGACAATCCCTGAACTTCGATCATGACAATCTCCCTTCTAGTTCCTATCAAAGGTGAAAGTTTCCACATAAATGAGGGGGTTTTGAAAAGTTCATGGAAAAATGGAATTAACAGCCCCCTCATATATTCCCAGTGTTTAAGCAGAGTAGTAAATGTAATCCAATAAACCACTTGTTTGGCTTATGTGCAAAGGGCATGGTGGTGGCAGCCCTTGTCGCCTAGCTCCCCTCATCAGCATCAGTCCCAGGAGGACTCCTCTGAGGCACAGGGAACAGCCCTCCTCTCTCCAGTCTTTGCGTCAGCTCTACACCAGCTCTCTCTGCCATGGCACTCGCTACTTCTCAAAACCCACTGCAATGGCCACAGAGAACACACAGGGCAGACCCACAGTTGGGGTAGAGGGGGTCTACTAGGAAAGTTGTTAAGTGCTGCCGAGTCAGTTCCGACCCACAGCAATCCTGTATAAGGTTTCCAAGGAGCAGCTGGTGAGCCTGAACCGCCGACCTTGCAGTTCAAACTGACTTTGTAGTCTGGTGCATTAACCCACAGCACCATCCCATCCCAGGACTTGTGAGGGTTCTACATTTACATGGTCACAGTCCCTCATGGGTAGCAAACCTGACCAATCCCCTTATTAGGGGTCCATATACTGTATTTGCACGGTCACACTCCCGCATGGGTTCCAGGTACCGTATCAACCTGGGTGGTGGGCCACAAGCAGCTTATTTGCAGAGTCCCATCCAATCACTTTGTGCTTATCACAAAGAGGGTCACGCACACAATTCACTGCACCTTACTATAGGTGCCAAACCCTATCGATAACAGAGAGAGCCAAAGATGAGAAAGACAATGATCCTGATCTTAAGCAACTACAATCAAGCTGGGGACACAGTTAACTATATATGAAAAGATGTCAGCCCCGTTTAGTCCTGCCGCCAAATTTACGGGTAAAAAGCCTGCTACTCTCAGTCTCACCTACTCATGTGTTTTCCGGCTCATTCCTTCCTTCATTCATTCAACAAATAATCTTTTGGAGCTTCCCATTAGGAGGCCTGGTGGCAGTGTGGGCTAGGTGTTGGAATGCTAAACTCGAAGTCGGTAGTTCAAATCCACCAGTCACTCCACAGGAGAAAGATGATGCTGTCTACTCTCATAAAGATGGGAGTCTTGGAAACCCTATATAGGTTGAAATTGACTCTACTGCGATGGGTTTTGAATTTATTATTATTAATTAAGATAAAACTGGAAATACATGGGAACAAGACCAACAGGGCCGTCCCTCTCTCCATGAGCTGACATTCAATAGTCCACTGGAGCTCCACTAGAAACAGCTTTGCCATTCACTAGCATCCTCTCCACACTTGCCCTAGTGAATGGACATCAGTCTTAGTCCTGTTACTCTCCACAGGTCAGCCAGCACAGCCTAGTTCCCCTACTAACTCAGCCTACTCAGCCCCTGCTGATACAGGAGTCCCGCCCCACACATTATCAACATAATCAACATTATCAACATCACCTCTTGACCTCAGTTCCCAACACGCCCTTTCTTCTTCAAGGCCAGACTGTTTCAAAGTCAAATCTGAACGACTGTCCTGATGTAAGTCTGTAGTCATTTCCTAGGGCACAGTAACAAATGATCACAAACCCAGTGGCTGAAAACCACAGGAACTGATTCCCTCACAGTTCTAATGGCTGGAAGTCTGAACTCAGGGTACCACTGGGCCAGGCTCCCTCTGAAGGCTCAGGGGAGGAATTTCCAAACCTCTCCCAGGAGCTCCTTGGCTTGTGGCAACATCGCTCCAGTCTCTGCCTTCTCCTCTGCACAGCTCTCCTCTTCTTATAGGGACACCAGGCATTGGATTTAGGCCCATCCTAAATCCAGGATGCTTGTATCTCGAGGTTCTTAACTACTCACATTAGCTTATTTCCAAATAAAGGTCTGAAGTTCCAGGTGAACATGCGTTTGGAGGGACAGGGAGAAGTAAGGGGCAAAGCCACTATTCAACCACAGCCACAGCCTGCAACACCTGTTATTCCAGAAGCCATCATCAAAAACATTCCCATGTCTCTCTTTCCCGCATGGCTCCTGCAAGGAAGAGCACCGCTGTGGGTCACTGTTGCCATGGTCAGAACGGAACGGACTGCCCAGCAGTCAACAGGATGGTGGTTTTCAATGACAGCTCACAATGACACGGCTCACAGCGGTGCCCCAGCTGAAGAGCAGACACAGCTCCAGGCATGCTCTCTTCTCATCTCTTTCCTCATCAGTCCACAAGGAGCCCCAGGAGCATAGTGGGCTACGTGCTGGGCTGCTAACTAAAAGGTCAAAAGGTCAGCAGTTCAAATCCACCACCCGCTTTTCAGGAGAAAGATGAGGCTTTCTGCTCCCGTAAAGATATGCAGACTCTATGTAGGGTCACTATGAGTCGGAGCCCACTAGACGGCACACGCAGCAGCAATCAGCCCAAGATTCTCCAGCAAAGTCTCCAACCAACTGGACCTTCCTAGATGCAGCCTTGCCCGGGATTTCTCCACGCTCTCTGAACATCGGGGGAGTTTAAAGGGAGCTTCCAAAAGTTGGTTGAAAAGTAGAATTTAAAGATAATACACATTTTCCACAAACCTTTTAAAGCCCCCCTCAAAGACAATATATACAGTTGACTTAGATAAATAGTTGTGTGAGTAACTGAGATACAGCAAGCATCTGTAAAATCAAGGACTGATTTCACTCTAAATATTACAAAAGAAAATACAATTTAAAAACACTAGAGGCAATGTCCTGCTGTGAAAGTTCCTATAAAACCCGAATCACTGTAACTTCTAAAAATGTTCTTCCTAAAGAGGTTACATTCATTCATTACAAGTGCGCCCTGCCAAAAGCACACCTCCTAAGGGATCAAATCCATGATTAATTTCATTCATCAATTAGTAATTCTAGTACACAGGTCGGAGAGGACATTCTTACCTCCAAAGGCGAGCTGCAAAGGAATCTTGTGAACTTCAGAGTTGAATTTGAATAGAATCCATTGCATCCAATAAATGAGGAGTAAAAGAGAGAAGAGAAAAAAGAACACTTATTATACAATCTTCCATTAAGAACAGTAAAAGTAAACCTAAGGGTCTATGCAAAACTAATGCTTTCATACATCATATGAGGGGGCTTCAAAAAGTTCGTGAAAAAAATGGAATAAATGGTAATAGAAACTTTCCGCAAACTTTTTGAAGCCCCCTCACATAATTTATTCACGGAGTACAACCTAATCCATATCAGGTGCCCAGTTATTTGAATCAATTTAAACAAACATCTAAAAAGAAAAAAATGTGTATAAAAGTAATAAAGAAAATCCAAGTTAGTCCTAAATATTTCATTCCTCTTAGTTTTACCTCCTAAACCCTACATAATAAATCACCTTCCAAGAGAGGAATCCATATTCTCCTGACCCTAAATGTCACTGGTAGGGTTTAGTAAATGCCAAGAGGATACGGATATAAACCAGTGGGGAGAAATAAAAACCAAGACGCAGTAGGAGGCTGCATGAGCAAAATGGGGCATGGGACCCGTAACTGGATTGGATGCTACAATTAGGCACTCGGGCCTCAATGTTTACCCTGCCCTGCCCTCCTTTCCTCTATTCCACAGGCAGATTTTGGTTTTCTGCTCCATAAACATATGCAGGCTTATGGAATGTCATCTGAAACTAAGTGTCATGCCTGTTTCTCTTAGCTTTAAAAGAAAGAAATTACAACTTTTTATTTTTGGGGGGGGGATGAGGGTGAGGGTGGGGGCAGGCATGACAAGGCAAATTACAGCTCATCTCTGAAATGTGGACTGCCACATAACCTCATAAATAATACATGATCATAATTTCTAATGTTTCCTTCTTCTGTGTTATTTACAGAATCGACATTTCAAATCCTCAGAGATTTACTGTAATAAAATACCAAGTAGTATAAACTCTCCAGCTTTCTAAATGCAAATTAATGACAATAAAACCAGTGCCCAGGACTGTCCCCAAGCACTGTGATCTTCCTCTCCACAACAAAGCTAGCTAGTACTCAGGGAATAGAAATCACCTATATCCTCTTTCAGACATACACAAGGAAATATTTACCAGTGAAATGAGACAATGTCTGCACTTTCCCTGAAACACATTTGGAAGAAGAGTACTAGAAGGGAGTGCACAGATCAACCGAGATCCATCAACTATCAAAACCACTGATGATGGGAGACTAAGAACACAATGCGCCTCAGCCTCTAACAACAGCTTATAGAACTCTCTAAGGGAATGTCTAACGGTTACAAAATATATTATTATCAGGCACTCGCCACCCCACCCCCAAAAAAACAAAACAAAAACGCAAATACATTCCTAAAGGAGTATCATGAGGGCATGCCAAAGTTACTACGGATCTAACTCAGCATCATTTAAGCCCCGGAGGACAAGGTGCTTTCAAATTGACCCATGAACAATGGTTTCTAAATTTAAATTATAGCAGTAAGCAATTCAACTATGCTACCTGCTAAGAGAACTTTCTGAAAGTGCAAGTTAGACCAAAATACTGAATTTTCATAAAGCTAAGATGACACAGAAGATTCTTTGAAATGTGAAATGCAACTTTTGTGATCTTCGAGTCTGTGCATGGTCACCCCACATAAGGCAATCCCAAACTTCCTTTCAAGAGTGAAAAAGTATGAGCTTAGAGGCTAGTAAATTCTCACAGTGGGGACCAACAAGGGAGGCCTGGGGAGGCTTTTGATGACAAAATGAGAAATTTGATTTCTTTAGGCTCTTTTATGATTTTCCTCAGTCTGTACACCTTGACTAAATACATCGTAGGTCTGAATCTAGAAATACCTCAAGTTCAGCAGTAATTAAGGAATCATTTAGAATGGAAGTGATTTTAAATAACAACAGAGAGAAACCTGTAGACCTTCTCCAAGAAAATCAATGTTTCCTTCAAGCACTGAAAATTTACACACATCTCTGTGGTTTGTATGTGTTGCATCTGTATCGTGGCTATTTCAAAACACACCTCAAAATTCCTGCCCCATTTGAAGCTTCCAAACTTGGAAATACATCAATAAGAGTTCTCTGTCCCTAAAGCAGTGAAACAGAATAACAAATCACAAGGCACACACACAGTCCTTCCTGTTCACAGCACATGAAAAAGATTTCAAAACTGCTGCTTCTCTATGAGTGCATGGGAAGAATCCATTGCTATTTCATTTCACGTCAGTTAATTACTTGGTAAATTCTTTCATAATGAATTTACACATATTATGCTCAACCCAGATGGCAATACTTTGAAAAAGAAAAATCATTAAAAAAGCACATATGAATGCAAAAAACATTCTGGCTACCTACTGAAATTTAACTGCAGAAATAGATGTCATTTAATGAATGCCACCACGATGCCTGATCAGCTTTAAAATGAAAAAACAAAGAAAAAAAGAAAAGACGATGGCCACAGCTGGAATCACACATCAGTATCCCTTTCCTCCCAGGCCTGTGCTTACTATTCCATTAGAAATGCCGTGCAATTGTCGTCATCATTGTATGCCGTCGAGTCAGTTAGGACTCATAGCAACCCTGTATAGGTTTTCTGAGAACAGTTCATGGGTTTGAACTGCCAACCTTGAAGCTTAGCAGTGCAGTCCTTATCCTACAACAGTGCCACCCTAGGGCCCACTGTGCAATAGCTATAGTTAACAGGTACAAAGAAGGATCCTACTCTATATAGGAGACTAAATTACAAAGGATTGCTACCAGGGTTCTGGTTCACACAGGCATGGGTTTATTCCAAACAGAACGTGTTTACATGTGCCTCTGCCCTCAGTGGACAGTGCAGACAGGTTCGCCCAGTAATACACTTGTCCTAGTCTCCTTACAGGGCCTTCAAAGGTCCAATCAAAACAGTGGTTCCACAGAGATCTGCTGGGCCAGCTAAATGCAAGACAGAGAGGTCAGTTCAGAAGGTTAGGGTGACTGTTTGGGGGGCTTCAAAGGCGTCCCCTAGATAGATTTTCTCAACACAGGGCAACCATGAGGGTTTTCTAGGAAGAAGTCTTAAGAAACCTAAAACCCGCACTGAGGAGAAGAAGGCCGGGAAAGTTGTCTCTCTATCTTCAAGGGTAGCCTGGGCTGTTCCATAAGGATTTCCGTGGGAAAACTTACACCATCCTCCCTACAGCCCTGATCTTGCACTTTCAGACTTCTGGTCCCTCAAATTCAAGAAACACTGAGAAGAAACACAATTTGAGTCCTTCAAGGCAGAATTTTTGAGGGAAGGGTTAGAAATGACTACCCCATCTTCAGAAGTGTATATAGACTTAAATGGAGACTATGTCAAGAAACTGTCGCTTCACATTTTGATTTTTGTTAAATAAACGTTTCTATGATTTAACAGCCAGACTTTTTGACTTACTCTTGTATGACTAAGAAAATAAAGACCTTCGTGTTTTACAAAATATCAGAGTGATTTTACAGACAGGAATGCACATCATTCAGAAACACGTAGCAGTAAGCATAACCACATATGGTACCTTTCCATTTTACCTACGTCAAAGACAAGAGCGTCTGAGTGGTGCCGTGGCTAAAGCGCTATGCAGCTAGTCACAAGGTCAGTGGTTCAAACCTAGCAGCTGCTCTGCAGGAGAGGATGTGGCCGTCTGCTTCCATACAGATTTATAGCCTCAGAAACACTGCGGAGTGCCTCTACAGTGTCCTCCAAGCATCAAAACTGATTGGGTGGCTGCAGGTTTGCTTTGTTTGGTTAATTTCATGGACCGCTTTTGGAAACGACTCTTCCAGGCAACCTCAGAATACACCAGATCAGCAGTCAGAGAAGTTGGATGTTCAAGTCCCTGCTCCTATAATGCCCTTTATAAACTGTCGCGTCATCAACGCCTCCCTCACAGAGGGACTCACGTACAGCTGGGATGCTTGCCTGTGCTAGCATGATAAGCTACCTATCTCATCATCTACAGATTTATAAAATGATCCACGGTGTCAGGGCAACGGGACCTGAGACCAGACAGTCACAGTGACCCATCAGGTCAGAATCCTGGAGACCTTAACCCCCAACGAGAACTAACGCACATACCCTCCTGGGTCAACAACAATGTTCAGGACCACCCGTCACAGGGCGGGTTTCTGATACTGAACTCAGAAATGTCTATCACAAAATCAATCACTAAATTGAAACTATATGGACCTAACTTAAGACTTAAAAATGTAGACCATTCCTTTCCTACACCCTGCCATCAAGCCCACGTCAAACCTAGAACAGAACAAGAAAGCACTTACAGGTGACCAGACCCTTATAAATGCAGGCGAGTATGACCGAGTCAGTGGGGGACAATTTTTATGTCATGTTGTGTGTTATTGTTAAGTGCCATCGAATCAGTTTCATAGTGATCCTGCACGGGGTTTCTGACCTTGCAGGTTAACAGTCTGGTGCTTATCCTATAACACTACAAAAGATCTAGAGATCTACCTCAGTAGGATTCTTACTTGCAGGGCATGAGTCTAACATAGACGAGAAAGGAAGAAGTCGCCCGACAGTGGCCTTCTCAACCCTGAACAGCTAAGTATTTTGATACCAAAGGCCAGCATTACCCTTGGGATTCACTTTATGAAACTCATGAAAACATTTAATGCTAATTCTTCCGTCATGTCTGAACCTTTTTAAAAACCACAAGGGCTCTGATCTATGCCTGGAATCGAAGGAGCAAAGGCAGCAGATTGAGAAGATTTAAAATCTTTCTAGTCTCTAAGAAGCCGAGGAGGACACACGAGGGCCCGGTGCTGCTGTTCCCTAGCTGCTTACTGACCTCAGCCCTCAGAGCACACCACCCACCATACCAGGGGCTGCCGCGCTAGTCTGCACGGGTAGCCACCCCCCCACTCACCCCCGCCTGTCTCATGGCCTCCACTCACCCACTCCCTGCTGAGGAGTCACTTGTGACTCATAACAGACCTAACAGGACAGGACAGA